CATAAATTAAAATTTAACCAAAGTTTTTTTTTGTTCAAAAGTTTGTTGACATGAATCACAACCAAAGGGGACGAATACCCAAACACAAAAGATCAATGTTGAGTAAAGAAAAGTCAGATGGCAGTAGTACTAGAGAGATGGTAGTTGTATCCAGGGAGAGATTATTAGAAATGGAGGAAAAATTACGGATTTTATCAGCGAGTAAGTAACCTTTTTTCAATCATTTTTCTCGGAAATTTCAGATTTTCATTCATTTTGGAAGCTGAAATTTGCAATAGTAGACACCTATAAATTTAAAATTGAATACTTTATTTGGACCAAACTACCCCTGAACCAAAACATATGGGAATTGCACCATTTGTGGAGGAACGGGTGCAAAGGCATCCTCAGCTTCTGAATGGAATATCTGAAAGAATAAGAATATGCAAATTAAAACCAATCAAACTTTTGGGCTTCCTGTTGAAATGTAAATCACTGAATAAAGATTGCTTCATTCCACCTCTAACCCCCACTGGTTAATGAATCAATACCTCCAAATAAAAACTTTATTGATGCGTATTAAAGACAGATATGCACTTGGCAACTTTACTCTTCGACTTTTTAAATAACAGGCATTTTGTAACAACCTAATGGTCTGACGAGACTCTTATTACAGGCAATAAAAACAAACTTATACAACTGATAGTATCATTGAGAATGAAAGTCAAACTTGTTTCCATAGCCTGTATCCCCAAGGAACAAGACTGAAAAAAAGTAGATGACTTAATCAAAATAATGAGAAGAGTTTTGTTAATCTTGCTATGATATCATACATTGTGGCAGAAGTAGTCATGAAACTTGTTTTTGAGAACTACCATGAGGCTTTTACATAATGAGCCTCTTATTATTTTGACTTGCAACAATATGAAATTGAGATTTCACTTGAATACAAATTTTATTTCCCACCCAATGTAGGATGTGATATGACAGAGGAAATAGCATTGGTCAAGAAAAAGATTTATGATGACATAGTATTTAACAAGGCAGAAACAGTGTATGATCCAGACAGTTTTAGAGAGTTTTGCATATCAGCAGGTGCAACAACGTTTTTCAACACTATTCTGGATCCAGTCACTGGTTCTCAGCATTCAACAGACCGCATACATCTAAACAAAAAAAGGGTTGTCTCATTCATTTACAATTTGTGCTACTGCCTCAGCCAAACATGCAATCCTCTTCAAATGGATCACGCTCTTTATCTCAAGAGTAATCTCATAAATCAAGAGGGCATTGAAACAGAACATATCATGGGCATACATGTTCCAGAAGAACTTTAAACAATGTTATGCACAAAATGTCAGTCTCATTTCAAATCTTTTGAAGATTTTATAACCACAGCTACAGATCGCAAATGGCTAACAGTGCTAATAACTGATGATTTCACAGCCATTCACACCAAAAGAAGGCCACAAGAGGAAAAATTGTCAGAGGCAAAGACAATGTGTACCATAGTTGTTAAAGCTTTTAAAGATATTCCAGCTGTACCTGTAATGCATGTCCTTTGTACTCATGACCAAAATGGTATGGATATTGAAGCATGCATACAACTAATTACTGCTGCATTGTCCATGCACAACATCAGTGAGAGTTATGCTTCTGTGATGCCTGACTGA